GTGGCTCAGTCGGTTGAGTGATGGACTCTTTATTTCAGCTCAGGTCGTGATCTCAGGGTCCTAGTGTCACAGGATTGCAGGGTTCTTGTGTCACAGAGTCAAAGAATGAATCTTGCGGACACAAGAGGGTGAAGTAAAGTGAAAGTTTATTAAGTGAAGGTGAGAGCAGAAAGCAAAGAAGCTCTCTAGAGTGAGAGGGGTCCCAAATGGATTGCCACTGAGGGTTTTTAGTGTCAGTCTTTTATTGAGAACTGACTGGGAAGCTTGTGGCCTTGAGATTTTTGTGCCCTCTTGGTTTGAGCAAGGACTATTGGTAACACCCTTAATGACTTAATTCTTTGAGGTTTGGTTATTTTCTATGATTACACTGTAACCACCAAAGAAAAATACTCCCTAACATCGGAGGCCAGGTGATCTGTTTCTTTATCTCTTGTTCACTCTGGCTTAGGGCTTCTGCCTGCCAGGAATAGTTTTAGAGCCCAGCTAGGGCCCCCTGCCTCTCCCTGCCTGTACCTTAACCCTTTCCTTATTCACTAGGATCGAGTCCCTCATCGGGCTCTGTGCTCAGCAGTCTGCTTGTCCCTCTCCCTCTGCTCTTCCCCCCCACTTGCTCTATCTCTAAAATAAATACTAAACAAAACAAAACTTTGATCCTGGATCAGGTTGGGGCAAATGGAAGAACATAAAAGATATTTTAGGAGTAATTGGGAAATTTTAATTTAAATATTTGAATTAGTGTTAATTCTTTTCAAGTCTGATAATGATAGTATGTGATATGAAGATATAAAACATTCTTATTCTTAGCAGAGGCCTACTGAAATGCTTAGAGGTGAACTTTCATGGTGATTGTACTCACCTTCAAATGGTTCAGGAAAAAACATGGATGTATGGGAGTTAATAAGCTATTGTTTCTCAGTACAATCTTCTGTACTCTGTGCTGAGGCTGGAACTTGATGCTTTGCCAGTTGACTCCCTGAGAGGCTTTCCCTCTGTAGGAGTCTAAAGAGAAAAGGCAAGACTGGAAAAAGAAACTTGGTTCTTTCTGTCTGCTCCCTAATTAGAATCCACATGAAAAGAATGAAGTTGGACCCTTACCTTATACCATATACAAAAGCTAACTCAGAATAGCCCAAGGACTTAAACTTCAGAGCTAAAACTATAAGACTTTTAGAAGAAAACCTAAGGTAAAACTTACGACATTGAAAAAAAAAAAGACTTACGACAGCGGCTGGCAATATTTTCTTGGATATAACACCAAAGACACTGGCAACAAAAGAAAAAATAGACAAATTGGACTTTGTGAAAATTAAAACTTTGTGCATAAAAAGATAATATCAACAGTAAAAAGGCAACACACAGAGAGGCACCTGACTGTAGAGCATGCAGCTCTTGATGTCAGGGTCGTAAGTTCAAGCCCCACATTAGGCAGAGAGATTACTAAAAAAAATAAATAAACAAAAATAAAAAAGATTTTTAAAAAGGCAACCCACAGAATGGGAGAAAATATTGGCAAATCATGTATCTGATAAGGGATTAATATTTAGAATATATAGAAAACTCTTAGACTCAACAGCAAGAGAACAACCTGATTAAAAATGGGCAAAAGGGGCACCTGGGTGGCTCAGTCGGTTAAGCGTCTGCCTCCAGTTCAGGTCATGATCCGGAGTCCTGGGATCAAGCCTCACATTGGGCACCTTGTTCAGTGGGGAGTCTGCTTTTCCCTCTCCTTTTGACCCTCCCCACTGCTTGTGCTCTCACTCACTCTCTCTCTCTCCTAAATGAATAAATAATAATAATAATAATAACCTTTAAAAAATGGGCAAAGGACTTGAATAGACATTTGTCCAAAGAGGATATATAAATGGCCAACAAGCACATGAAAAGGTGCTCTTGAAATCACCAATCACTAGGGAAATGCAAATCAAAACTACAGTGAGATAGCACCTCACATTCATTAGGATGGCTACTAGGGAAAACAAACAGAAAATAGCACGTGTCGGTGAGGATGCGGAGAAACTGGAGCCTTTGTGCCTTGCTGGTGGGAATGTAAAGTGGTATAGCCACTATGGAGAACAGTATAATTCCTCAAAAAATTAGAACTAGAGGGGCACCTAGGTGGCTCAGTTGGTTAATTGTCTGTCTTCAGCTTGGGTCATGATCCCAGGGTTCTGGGATAGAGCCCCACGTTGGGCTCCCTGCTCAGTGGGGAGTCTGCTTCTCCCTCTGCCTCTCCCCCAGCTGGTGCTCTCTCTCTCTCAAATAAGTAAATAAAATCTTAAAAAAAACAAATAAAACTAGAGGGGCGCCTGGGTGGCTCAGTCGGTTGAGCGGCTGCCTTCGGCTCGGGTCGTGATCCCAGAGTCCTGGGATCGAGCCCCACGTCGGGCTACCTGCTCAGTGGAGAGCCTGCTTCTCCCTCTCCCTCTGCCTGCCTCTCTGCCTACTTGTGCTTTCTCTCTCTCTCTGTCAAATAAATAAATAAAATCTTTAAAAAAAAAACTAGAATTAACTATATGATCCAGCAACCCCACTTTTGCATTTATACCTCAAAAAATTGAAAACAGAACTTGAACAGATATTTGCACACCAGTGTTCATGGCAGTATTTTTCACAACAGCCAAGAATGGAAACAACCCAAATGTCCGTCCACAGATGAATGGATCAACAAAATTTGGTATATACATACAATAGAATATTATGCATCCATAAAAGGAGATGAAATTCTGGTACATGCTACAACATGGATGAATCTTGGAATAGTATGCTAAGTGAAATAAGCCAGGCATAAAAGGATAAATATTATATGATTCCACTTATCTGAAGTACCTAGAATAGACAAATTCATAGAGACAGAACATAGAATAGAGGTTACCAGGGGCTAAGGAGAAGGGAGAAGGAGCAGTGGGGAGTTAATGAGTACAGAATTTCAGTTTGGGATGGTGACAAAGTTCTGGAAATGGATGGTGGTAATGATTGTACAACATTATAAATGTACATTAAGTACTGAACTGTACACTTAAAAATGGATAAAATGTAAATTTGTAGTGTGTATTTTACCACCATAAAAAAATTAGAAAAATTGTTTTATCTTCCTCAAATTTTTATCATACTATTCCAGAAGAAAATTTGATATTAAAAAAAAGATAGAACATCCATTTGCTTTTCTTTTTTTTTTTTATGAAGATTTTTTATTTATTTATTTGAGAGAGAGAATGAGAGACAGCGCGAGAGGGAAGAGGGTCAGAGGGAGAAGCAGACCCCCTGCCGAGCAGCGAGCCCGATGCGGGACTCGATCCCGGGACTCCAGGATCATGACCTGAGCCGAAGGCAGTCGCTTAACCAACTGAGCCACCCAGGCACCCCTCCATTTGCTTTTCAAAACTTTGAATCAATTACTGAGTTTACTTGGTGCCTGAAGAAGAGAATGAATTATTGCAGCTTAGTTCTTAATTGCCCTAAAGAACAATTACACAACATTGAATTTATCATCATTTTGGATTAAGATAAAGAATATCCATTGTTAGGCAAGAAGAATTTTGCTGTTCTTATGCACCACAGTCTTTTTGTTTGAACTAGGATTTTCAGGGTTAACCTAATTCAAAACAAAACAGAAAAAAAACAGACTCTTTGGGGTACCAGATATGCATGGGGCATAGTCCTCATAATGTTTTAGACTGGACTAAATTTAGAACAGGCAAGCACACTTTTTTAAGATTTTATTTATTTATTTTAAAGAGAGAGCACCAGTGGGGGGAGGAGCAGAGGGGGAGGGACAAGCAGACTCTGTGCTGAATGCAGAGCCCGATGTGGGGCTGGATCCCAGGACCCTGAGATCATGATCTGAGCTGAAATCAAGAGTTGGGATGCTTAACCAACTGAGCCACCCAGGTGCCCCAAATACATCTTTTAAGTTAAATAAAATATTTTCTAATTTTCCTTTTTGTGTTATTTGAGACTTTTTCTATATTGTATTTAAATATTGATAAAATATTTGATATTAACTCATAATAGTAATGTTTTGTGAAATTTCAATATATACATACGGGGATGTATCATATTGAATCATAGTTTAAAAGATACTTCTTATTATGGGTCTTTGTAAACAAAAATTTGAAATACACTTTTCTAAACATTCTTCAGTTTTGATTTTGATTTCTTTGACCCAAAAGTTGCTTAAGAGAATTTTTAGTTTTCACGTTATGCATATTTTACTTTATTGCTTTACAGTCAAAGAGAGAATATAGGGTATTCTATATTATTTCTCCTTGTTGGGAAAAATGTTTAGTCTCCATTGCCTGTGTGTGTGTATATTTGTGTATGTATTAGATCAACTTTGTTAATTTTATTATTAATATAGAGCATTTGTATACTTATTTTTTTAGCTTTTCAGGTTAAAATAATTTCAGAATTACTTGCAAAAATAGTACCAAGAATTGCTGAGTGATATCCTTTGTTAAATAACAAAAAGTCAACCAAGTAAATTTTAAAAATCAAGTTGGCTTTATTAATTGATTCATAAATTGAGCAGCATCCTGGGGCGCCCGGGTGGCTCAGTCAGTTAAGCATCTGCCTTCCGCTCAGGTCATAATCCCAGGGGTCTGGGCTCAAGCCCCATATCGGACTCCTTGATCAGCGGGGAGCCTGCTTCTCCCTCTCCCTCTACCCCTTCCCTCTGCTCATGCGCTCTCTCAAATAAATAGATAAATCTTTAAAAAAAAAAAGTTGAGCAGCATCCCTTCTAGCAACTAGAGGGGAGCTCCAAAAGTCTACAGAAAAGGGAAGGTTTTTAAAGGTAGAGAGGGAGTGGAAAAAAAGGAAATTGTTAGTAAAGAATCCATTATTTTAGGCAATGTCACCCGCCCCCATTCACATTACATGACCCAGACAACGTCACGTGTCCCAGTGTTTTGCAGCTACTCACTCCCATTTCAAGTTCAGTGGTTAGGAGCTTCCCTTGAAATAACAAATTTGTGCTCTTTTTTGTTTGTTTCTTCATGAAGACCTGAGGATGAGATGTTTTTAAAAAGTCTCTCTAGAGGTTACCTGGTGGGAAAGGAGCCCAACGCTCCCCCTTTCTACAGAGAAGAAGGAAACAAAAAATTTCAGAAGAAGGATTATATGGGAGCCACAGTACTATACTCTAAGGTAAGGCACCCCCCAGCTCAGCAGGAGGGGCTGTGTTAACAATTTAGCAATGCACATTTCTTCACAAGATAGAAGCTTCTTGCTGAATTGTGTAGCCAGTGGTTGCTTTGTTTATCATTTGTGAATTGAATTTGTTAAAACTGGCAGAATTCTGCTGTTGGTTATATGCCGAAACAACAGGTAGTTTGTATTATATGTCCTGGATTCCACCCAGAAACTTCTCAAATTCCCTCAGATGCCTTGGAGCGCTATGGCTTATTGGACCCCTGGCTCTGCCTTGCCCGTGTCTGTCAGCTGTCACTGAATTTCGTGCCATTTTTATCTGATGAATGATGAGGCTGTTGGTTTGATAGTCCCAATTTAGAGAGCACCTCGATTTTTGGTTAGCCACGGTGTTAGTTTACAACCAGTATGACTTAGATTAAGTCTGAAAGGAAAATAAGCTCGGTTGCCACAGCCTATTTGAACTCCATTTTGAAGGATGTCAACAGATACAGAAATACCTAGGAGATATCGTGGGTTTGGTTCCAGACTACCGCAATAAAGCATGTCAAGTAAATTTTTTGGTTTCCCAGTGTGTATAAGAGTTGTTTACACCATACCATTGTCTGTTAAGTGTGCAAATAGCATGATGTCTAAAAAAACTGTATACCTTAATTTAAAATTCTTTATTGCTAAAAACAACACCACCATCTGAGCTTTCAGCAAGTCATCATCACTTATCCCAGCTCACTATAACAAATATAATAATGATGAACAGTTTGAAATATTGCAGGAATTAACGAAATGTGACACAGAGACACAGTATGAGCAAATGCTATTACATGGTGCTTTGATAGACTTGCTTGATGCAGGATTGCCACAAACCTTTAATTTGTAAAAGAAAGAAAAGAAAAGAAAATACTGTGTCCGCAAAGCACATTAAAATGAGGTGTGCCTGTATTTAAAATTAAGCATCCCTGAACTAGATTTTGATGAGAAAGAGTGACTTTTACCAATCTGCTGCCCTTATTGTCCTGCTTCCATGGTAGAAACTGAAGCAAGACCCCTGAGAGACTTCCTTCCATAACATTTAAGAGATAAATACGGGCCTAAAGCAAGAATGAACCAATCCCCTGCACCAGGTCTGTGAAGATTATTAAAAGGATGAGTGTGAATTTGAAGGGTGTACCTCTACTCTGAATCTTCAACAGGGCTAAACTTGATGTTTGGAATTCGTTTTCCAACAACTATCAGACTTGAAACAACAGCCTCTCTAACTGATAAAGGCCCAGCTTTGTAATGTTATAAAGTATTTAGTGGAGTACTATAAGCATTAGTGAATGCTGGAGAATTATGATTCATTAGATGCAATGATACACTAATAAATGGCTTAATAGTTCTTTTTCAGAGCTAATCTCTTCAACTTTATGCATGTACATCAGAAATGTGATCCCATGGGAAGTTGTTAAAGGAAAACAAGTAAAAAGTGAAATCAGACAAAAAATTAAGGTTTGCTCTGAATGTGGAGGGAGATGAGCCTTCCTATTTCACGAAGCTAGTATTTTGGTGATTATGGTACTTCGCAATTTTCTACAAAGCTGCTATTTTCTTTCTTTTTTAAAATAATTATTGTTTTTATCTGATTATAGAAGTACTATATTTTGTAATTTACTTGGAAAATAGAAGCATAAGGAGTAAAAAAATCCCATAATCAATGATAGGCACTGTTAACATTTTTGCTTATATCCATCCAGACACTTTTTCCTCTGAAAATATGTTTTTCTTTTACAAAATTGGGATAATGCTGCACTTCCTGTTTTGTAATCTGCTTTTCTCCCTCAACAATTTATGACCATTTTCTCGTGTTACTAAATTTTCCACTAGCACATGATTTTTTACAGCTAGCTTAGTGTTTCATTACAGAGAACTATACTTGATTTAACATCTAATGTTGGCAGATTGCTTGGCATTGTAGAGCTACAAAGGAGCGTCTATGTAAATATTTTTACACATCTGATTGTTTTCTTAGGATAAATTCCTAGAAGAGCAATTGCTGGGTCAGTTGAATGTATTTCGTTAAGGCCTTTGGTACTTGATGCTGAATTGTTCTCTAGGAAAGAACTAGTTAACAACGCTTCTAGTAAAGTATGGGAGTGTTTGGGGCGCCTGGGTGGCTCAGATGGTTAAGCGTCTGCCTTCGGCTCAGGTCATGATCCCAGGGTTCTGGGATCACCCCACATCGGGCTCCCCGCTTGGCGAGGAGCCTGTTTCTCCCTCTCCCTCTACTGTTCCCCCTGCTTGTGCTCTCTCGCTCTCTCTCTGTCAAATAAATAAATAAAATCTTTAAAAAAAAAAAAGTATGGGAATATTCGTTTCTCTATAT